CCTACCCATTGTGCGCATGCGGCAACGGACCGAAACGGCCAATGAGGCGTCTAGGTATTTATATGTCTATGGGATAAAATGTCAGGACACCTGTTGCATCTGTTGAGCACTTCTAGTAGCCCAAACACTCGTTTTTGCTATCCAACCTCTTTTAAAAAAAATTTTTTTTACGTAATTAAAGGGGTCATATGATACTATTTTAAAGATCATTATTTTGTGTATTTGGTGTAACAGAATATGTTTTCGCGGTTGTGGCTGGAAGGTATACCGCTACGGCTAAATTCATTTTTTCTACCTATTAGATTGTGTTTTATTAACTTCTACACCTACTCCAACCCTAAACCTACCCATTGTGCGCATGCAGCAACGGACCTGGTAGGACAATCTGATGGGTAGGATAAAATATGTCTATGGGATAAAATGTCAGGACACCTGTTGCATCTGTTGAGCACTTCTAGTAGCCCAAAACACTCGTTTTTGCTATCCAACCTCTTTTAAAAAAAATTTTTTTTACGTAATTAAAGGGGTCATATGATACTATTTTAAAGATCATTATTTTGTGTATTTGGTGTAACAGAATATGTTGACATGCTTTAATGTTCAAAAAACACATTATTTTTCAAATACTGTACATTATTCTAGGTCCTCTATGCCCCGCCTCTCTCAAACACGTCGTTTTCAACAAAGCCCCCTCCTTTGACAAGCGCAGTCTGCTCTGATTGGCCAGCTGACCCAGTGCATTGTGATTGGCCGAACACCACAAGCACGCGTCGGAAATGTAATGCCCCTTACCATAATCGCAGCTTCAGCTTTTAAAGTAAATATCAAGACAGTTTATGTCGTTAGTTTTACCATCAGTTCAAGCCCGAAAGAGCAACAAAGTCGCGTGACAGACGCAGTGATGATGCAGCACAAGTCGCGGTTAAGACAGCTGAAGTGCTATGATTTCTGACAGGCAGTTCACTCTCCTGTGATGTGACCCTGTTCCCACACACACACACACACACACACACACACACACACACACACGGCACTGCACCGCACTGCGCAACACAGTCAATAGCAAATACTTAAACTAATAACAAAACAGTAGGAAAACTTGAAATAGCATCATATGACCCCTTTAAGAGCGCACACGTCCATTTATAACTTGAATGTGCGAGACTTCCGGTGTCATAAGCTATAAGTTATTTTAGCTGTACAAAAACAGTCCATTATGCTAGCCTACTTGACTATAATTTATATAATTTATATAGTTTATATTTAAACTATAATTTAAATATATTATCGTAATCGTGAACACACAGGTTTGTAGCACAAACAGTTTTACCGTTTACTGCACTTGATTTTGTTCCAGCCATTTACGTAGCCTATATATCGGAATTACATTTACATTTAGTCATTTAGCAGATGCTTTTATCCAAAGCGACTTACAAATGAGGACAATAGAAGCTATCAAAACTAACAAAAGAGCAACAATATATAAGTGCAAATGACAAGTCTCTGTAATTAATTTTAAATGAACAGAAATACAATTTAGAGTAACATTTTATATATATTTTTTTATATATATGTTGAAGAAATGTTTCTTGCCTATTTAAAAGGTATTCTGTATTTTTTTATTTATTTTTTTATTTAGGCTACTTACTTTTTTACAGCCTAGGTGGTTGGTGGTCACTTACTAGCCTTGGTCAAATTATTTATAATATTCTAGTCTCTAGACATGGCTTAAGTACCTCATTCAGTGTGTTAATTCATCATCTGTCAAATAAAAAGTCTGACTGCTTAAGTGGTCAAGCAAGGTGTGGATGGAGGACCACCAGATAAAGACCCTGTCATGGCCAGCCCAATCTCCAGATTTGAACCCCACTGAAAACCTTTGAAGAGGAAGAAGGATGGTCACAAGCAAGGAGTGGCATAAAGTCACCCAACAGCAATGTGAAAGACTGATGGAGAGGATGAAATCTGTGATTGAAAATCAGGGTTATTCCACCAAATATTGATTTCTGAATAGTTCCTAAGTTAAAACATATTGTTTAAAAACGAATATGAACTTTTCTTTGCATTATTTGAGGTCTGATAACAAAACTATTTTTTTTGACCAGTTGTCATTTTTTTTGCAAATAAATGCTCTAAATGACATTATGTTTATTGGGAATTTGGGAGAGATGTAGTTTATAGAACAAAACAAAAAGGTTAATTTTACTCAAATATGGTCACGGTCACAGTGTGTGGAGGCAGGCAGGATGACAAGGACGACAAGGA